GTAGTATGGGCTGACTGAGTTTCTTTCTAGGTGTGGCTCTGTAGGGGCTGACCTTTTCTCAGCTTTATAATGAATCTCCATTAAAGACACCCATGGAAGGTACTAAGCCAGCCTGAAGAGGTTGCCTGGAGATGTGCTACAACGGTTGATTCAGGGAAGGAGAAGTAACACGGCTTTCTCTTTCCCACTGCAGAGAGCAGAATACAAATATTTTGCTGTCACATCTCTGCCTTTCTGTGATTTTTTTCTTCAGGTTATAGGAAGAAGCACCAAAAATTGTAGGATGATCTTTTAACGAGAATTGCCCCGACTTTTGTATGCCTCCATAGTGAGTTTTATTCAGGGACTCAATTTCCCTAGATGCTTGAAATTGATGGGTTGTATAATTTTACCCAATGGCACTTTTTTATATAGAAAATGTCATCATTAAGTAAAGATGTTATTGTATCTGATTATATTTAATTTCTGGGTATTGAGAAAATGGTTAAGGTATATTTATGTATATTGCTAGTGATCAAATTCCCTTTAAGGTTTGTGGATAAGTGACGGACAATGAAAAAAATCTTTTCTGGTGGAGAGTGGGGAGTGTTCTAAGATTCATGGTCACCTCATGGGCCTCTACCATGATAAAAAGCAACACTAAAACTAACTAGCTTCATGGAGCACCTGGGTGGCTCAGTTGGGTAACCATTTGATTTCAACTTAGGTCATGACCTTGTGGTCTGTGAGTTCGAGCCCCCCCATAGGCTCTGTGCTGACAGCTCAGAGCCTGGAGCCTGTTTCGGATTCTGTGTCTTTCTCTCTCTCTGCCCCTCCCCCACTCATGCTCTGTCTCTCTCTCTCTCTCACAAAAATAAACATTAAAAAAAAACTAGCTTGAAATCTTCTTTGTCTTTCTTGATCTAGGAGGAGGCATACAACATCCTGAAAAATCACACACAAACAATATGGTCATCTTCAACATAGACAGGAGGACAACTTTAGGCTTCCCAGCAGTAGATGTTATAGACCAGAGAAACAATGCTGCACCAAGATTCACAAAGTCAAGCTATTTTGACCCTCTCTTTGTCATTTAACGAATGGTCTTAGTTTGTGGCAATAACGATTTAGTCTTTGGACTTTGACAGCTTAAAATTAGCCACACATCAGAAGGCTAAAGACATACCACCATATGTCAATTAAAAAGATCGAACAGAATTTTGGTCTTCAGATAAATCAAATGATACTACTAAAAGAAAGACAAAAATCAGGGAAAAATCTACAAGTAGCGTGTGAATGGCAAATGTTTGTATTTTACTGTGGGAATCCATATTTTCACTAGGAAGTGGGATCTGATTTTATTTCAGGGATTAGGTTCTAAAATCAGAGTGTAAGACAAAATTATCCTCGACAGTTCTCTAATTGCTCTTAGAATGTAAACTTCTGTGATTTCTCAGAGTGTTTTGGTCATGGCCTCCACATCTCTGGGGAGTATAGTCTAAGGGTAACTTTGAATAGTTGCACCCCCGTTCTCTCTCTCTCTATCTCTTTCACACACACACACACACACACACACACACACACACAGACACGCATGCACCCTTGAATTTCCAGAAATGTAGTGTGACTATTTTGGACTTTGCTATAAAACAGGTGAGTTATTTCTCTATGTTGTGACTGTTTTCTGCCCTAAAAGCAATCCATATTGCACTTCTATGTAGCCTTCTATGGTCCCCAAGTAAGAGCTACTCTTTACCAGCCATTGTCTTGATTATAGATGTGACAATGCATTACTGAGGAGGAAAATAAAATTGCTTCTTGAGGCATACCCTCAAAAGTCAACCAGAGATCATAGAGTTTAGGGTTTATAGTTTTAATGGTTGTTTCTTTTGCTTCTTAAACCATCTGTGTTGTAGGTCGATTAACATTTCCTGAATGCTCATTATGTGCCTCTGCTTTCGTTCAATTAGTAATCTCATTCAGTCCTTCAGTGGCTCTGTGACATTCATCTTGTATGTGAGAGATCAAGGCTCTATGAAGTGTCCAAAGTCGAATTACCAGACAGGAGCATAGCTAGGATTTGAACTCATATCGATCGAGTGCAAACACAGGTATTTTTTTTCTTTCTATATTATAAAGTTTTCTTTCGTTTCCCACAATAGGAAAATCATGCAATTATTTTTTCTCTGTTTTAAGAGCATTCCTCTGAGGTTTTACATTCTTCATGAGTTTGGACTCTCAGTTGGGAAAGAGGTGAAACTCTTTAAAATCCTACCTGCCCCTGCACTGCCCCCCCCTCCCCCAATTATCTTGAATGTCTTCTCAATACCCTTCAGCAGAGGAAGGGCATTACAGGTACTGTTGTAATACAAATTGGAAATGAAATGAAGCCCTGAACTGAGACTGTGGTTCCCTGGAATGGTCTTCCTGTGGTGGGAATAAAGACCATGTTCAACAGGAGCAACTGGGGCTCTGAGGGGTCAAGGACAAGGTGGGTCATGAAGAGAAGAGAGGGCAGGCTCTGAGATGCTTGCTTGAGACCAGGAGTGGCTTGAACAGAGTCACAGGGACTCTTTGTGTGAGAAATAGTCTCTTAGGACTTAGTGTAGATGTGGAAAGGTGGCTGGAAAAAAGTGAAAAGAATCATTTGAATTCATTCATTCATTCATTCACTCAATAAACACTCATTTTTCAGTCTTGTGTACCAGATCTTGTGTCCAAGATCTTATTCTAGTACTCTGAGTGGCTCAGAGAAACACAAGACTCTTTTTCTTTTATGGTTGGAAATATTAAGAATTTAATGAGTAGATGCTACCTTGAAAATGTTTGGATACATGCATTTTTTTAATTAAAAAAAAAAAAGAATCTTCATTAATTTTGTTTGCCAAAGGGCTTACTATTGAACACGTTCAATTGAATTTAAGCTTTTCATGGAAAGGGTCAACCAATTCCTTTGTTTTTCTTTTTCATTTTTTATGGAAATTTCCAGTCCAGTCCTCCTGACCAGATTTCATTTTGTCAGGTTCCTACTTTGCCTTATCTACCGAGAATCTTCTCCAGCTCCATGGTGACAGACAACAGAGAGGGAAAATATTTTGGGCCAAAGTTTGAGAACACTTGCCTCATATAAATTCACCCTAAGCTCAGTTCTTCAGGATTTCAAAGTGCATGTTTTCACTGAAAGAAATGTAACCCTCATGCTTTTAGTTCCTTACACTGTTAATCAAAATGTCATTATTGAAGAGTAATTTGACGTCTAAAGAATATTTTCAGTTTTTTAAGTAAGTCTAATTTTTAAAAATGGAAAGTTATGATAGGCTGTGGGCATGAAATCTGAAAACAAAGATTACTAGGGAAAGTTTGACAACTGCCATTTAAAAAATTTACTTATTTTCTTTTTCTTTTTAAATTTTTTGGCTTATTAGTTCATTTTATTTATTTTCTCAGTCTTATTGAAATATAGTTGGGGCACCTGGGTGGCTCAGTCAGTTAAGCGTCTGACTTCGGCCAGGTCACGATCTCACAGTCCATGAGTTCGAGCCCCACGTTGAGCTCTGTGCTGACAGCTCAGAGCCTGGAGCCTGCTTCCGATTCTGTGTCTCCCTCTCTCTCTCTGCCCCTCCCCTGCTCATGCTCTGTCTCCCTCTCTCTCTCAAAAAATAAATAAGCATTAAAATTTTTTTTAAAAAGAAGCAATATAGTTGACACAGAGGATTGTATAAATTTAAGATGTACTGTGATTTATATATGTTATTGTATATGTTTAAGGTGTATAATGGTTTGGTATATATTTCAAAATGATGACTGCAATAAGTTTAGTTAACATCCATCTTTTTTGTTTTCATTTATCCACAGGTAGAGGAGATGTAAGGATCAGTCTAAAAATGTAACCTCAAGTTCTATGTAGTTTCAGTGATAAACATAAAATACAATTATGTTAAACATATATTTCTCAGAATAGCGCCTTGTATATGGTAAATACTCAAACGTTAGTTGCTATTACTATTATGTGTAAGTTGATATCAACACAGCAAATATTTATTATTGTGTTTTAATTTCTCTAAATTACAATACTCATATTACATACCAGGAACTGTGTTGGCTCACTACAGTTTGCTTTACTGGTGTTCTTTTTGTCTGAAGAACGCGAAACCTCAGATTTTAGTGCTTAGGATGAATTGTACGTCTAGAATTTCTGTTGAATTTCGCTACTACCATTTCAACATAGGTGTGGAGAAAGAATGTATTTGGAGTGCACATTGATTCAGATTCTCACCCCAAGCTCATCCAACAGTCCTTCTTTGAGAACATTCTTGGGGCTAGAATTTTAGGGTACAGAGCTGTTGGCCCTAGTCTTTGGTAGTTTTACAGTGTAAGTGGAGGAAACAGATGCACAAGCAGATAAATTGGATGTGAGGGGGTGAGTGCTGGTAGTTAGCTGTGGGAGCCAGAGCAGATAGCAGCCTGGGGGAAGTGAAGAAAAGTTCCCCAGAGGAGAGGGCATTTGGTCAGGTTTGAAACGATGGATAGGAGCTGCCTCAATTTCTTTATCTGTAAACAGAGGCAGTTGGACAGGATTCCTTTTTACTCCAAACTTCCATGATTTTAATGCTGTGGATCCCACTTTATCAATAATGAGGGACATTGGCATTGGGTCTTTGCATTTTGATTTTTGCAGGAGATCTTATCTGCACAATTCTTATGGCCTCTCAATCTACAGCAGGAGCATCAGTTGACTGTTCAGCTGTTCTGCTATCCTGCCAGATGGCTGAGCTTTTAGATTTCAGGACAAAGAATTCACACAACTGGCTGAATGTTTCGCTTTTCATCAGAATATTTTGGCATCAGGTGGACAATAACCATGGACAAACTTCAGGAATCTCAGTGATTTGGATTCAGTACAGAGAAAATAATAGCTTAGATTCTGATTTGAAGTGAAGCTCAATTATCCTCAGCCAAAAAATAGCCTTTCTTCTTCCAAATGGTCTAAGATGCTCATTAGCTCTGGCTTTGGTCCTGGGGTATTTTTGTAATGAAGTCGGCTGAAAGTTTGCAGGACAGATGGAGTTACCATCTTTCATGGGGTTGTAGAAGAGAGCAGAGCTGAGTTAGTGACTGGAAGAAGTAACATATTCAATAAGAAGAAAGGAACCGAAATGTCACCTGGGTGATTATGTAATCGTGCCCAGATCTTTCTCAGCAATTCTTTGGTAATTATAGTGGTATTTTTAAACAAGCCAACGTTATTGAGGTAAAAATGCACACATTGTATAAGCGTACAGTTCCTTGAGTTTGGAACTGGTGGATTTCTGCCACAAAAAAAACCATCGTGCAACTGAGATATAGAATACCATTGTCAGCCCAAAACACAGTCTTTCCTCCACAGTCCTTCTCCAGCCCACAGCCCAACTTTACATACCCACTAATCTGCTTTCAATCACTGTAGATTAGATTTGTCTTTTCCGGAATTTCATATAAGTGGAATCACAGTATACTCTTTTGTGTCTGCTTTCTATCACCCAGTATGTTTTTAAGACGCATCACTGTTGTTGAGTGCCTCAGTAATTTTTCCTTTTCATATTCATATTTCACTGTTTGGAATACCACGATTTTTCTTTCTTTTTTTTTTTTTTATGTCTATTTTTGAGAGAGACAGACAAAGTGTGAGTGGGGGAAGGGTAGAGAGAGAAAGGGAGACGTAGAATCTCAAACAGGCTCCAGGCTCCTAGCTGTCAGCACAGAGCCTGATGTGGGGCTCGAACTTGGGAACGGCAAGATCGTGACCTAGGCTGAAGTCAGACACTGAACCAACTGAGCCCCCCCAGGCACCCTTGGAATACCACAATTTCTTTACCTGCTAACTTGTTTGTGAACAATTGGGCTGTTTCCAGTTACAGGCTCTATGACTAAAGATGCTATGAACATTCATGGAGAATTCTTCGTGTGGATATATATTTTCATTTCTCTTGGATAAGTACTTAGGAGAGAAATTACTGTATCTTGTGTGGTAATGATATGTTTTAACTTCATAGGAAAATACCAAACTGTTCTCCAAAGTGGTCCTACTGTTTTTGCCTTCCCGTCATCAACATTTAAGGGTTCCAGTTGCTCCATATCTTGGTTAACCTAGTTTTTAGAATTTTAGCTTTTCAAACACGTATGTAGTGGTTATACATTGTTGTTTTAATATGCATTTTCCTGATGACTAATGACTTCTAGCAACTTTTCATGTGCTTAGTGGCCATTCATATACACTTATGTGTTGAGTATTTCTTTCTATTTTTTTTTTTTTTTTGCAATGGTTTTGAAGCTTCTATGTCATTCCATGAAGAGGCCTTGGGGCCATGGTAGGTGGATTGGGTTTTGTTTAAAATTATTTATTTTGAAGACACATTTTCATGACTAAAAGCAAATTGAAAAACATGGGTTTAAAGCAAAATTGGGAAGGAGGTGAATGTGGCTTTCGGTGTTACCATTCCTTTTCAATGTATGTGGGGAGCACAAGTCTTATAGACAGGTTTATAATAGAGAGAAACATGCCAGGCTCTGGAGTCAAAGAGATATGTGTTTACGTCCAGATTTTGCCATTTGTTGGCTCTATACACTTGGACAAATTTATTATCTCCTTTGAGTCTATTGTTTTATTAGTTGTAAAATAATATAGCTACTATAATAACATTGCAATGGGATTAATAATATCTAACCAGTAGGTTATTCTGAGGATAAAATGAGAAAATAAATGTAAAGTGTCTAGAGGTGTGCCTAGCACACAGTATATGCATCAAATGTTAGTTTCCTTCTATTTCTCCCTACCCCTAAACTTGCTCTACTTCTCTCCCTTTATTTTATTTATTTTAATTTTTTTTATGTTTATTTTTTGAGAGAGACAGAGACAAAGTGTGAGCAAGGGAGGGGCAGAGAGAGAGAGGAAGACACAGAATCTGAAGCAGGCTCCAGGCTCTGAGTTGTCAGCACAGAGCCCGTTGCGGGGCTCGAACCCACAAACCGTGAGATCATGACCTGAGCCAAAGTCAGACGCTCAACCGACTGAGCCACCCAGGCGCCCCTCCCTGTATTTAGAATCATAAGATTCCTCACCATGCCACTCCATCTTTCCTACCCTTTACAGGCTCTAGACTTAGATTAATTCTTCCTCCATTCTAACATTTACTGTTTTGTATTCTCCTCTCATAGACTCCTGCTGAATGTATGAATAGCTCATCTGATAAAACATAATTTCTGATGCTTCCAGTTCAGTTTTTTGTTTGTTTGTTTGTTTGTTTTAGGATTGCTTTGGCTGTTTGGGGTCTTCTGTGGTTCCATACATGTGTTAGGATTGTTTCATTTAGCTCTCGTAGTATTTTCATAGGATAGTGTCAAATCTATAGATTGCTTTGGGTACTATAGACATTTTAACAATGTTTGTTCTTCCAATCCATGAGCATGGAATGTTTTTCCATCTTTTTGTGTCCTCTTCAATATCTTTCAAAAGTCTTCTATTGTTTTCAGAGTACAGATCTTTTGTCTCTTTAGTTAGGTTTATTCCTAGGTATCTTACCATTTTTGGTGCAATTGTAAATGGGATAGATTCCTTGATTCCTTATAGGGGATGGGGGCAAAAAGAGAAGAGAGGAAAACAAACCACAAAAGACTCTTAATGATAGAGAACAAACTATGGGTTGATGGAGGGAGGTGGGTGGGAGGTGGGCTAGATGGGTGAAGGGTACTAAGGACGGCACTTGTGATGAGCACTGGGTGCTGTATATAAGTGATGAATCACTGAATTATACTTCTGAAACCACTATTGCACTATATATTAACTAACTAAAATATAAATAAAAGAATTTAAAAAAACACATAATTTCTGTTAAGGTGGTGATGGTTGATAATATTTCAAAGTTTTCATAAATACCTAATTCAAGAAGTAAGATCAAGGGAAGAACGACAAATGGAAGAATTTAAAGTCCATGGAGGGCTGATTAGGGTAGGTAGTGATTTTGGTATGGTTGCCTTTTCCCAGAACTCCATAAATCACAGTACATAAGTGGTTTTTTGCCAGGGAGTTGGTCTGCACTTGGACATTTTCAATTAGTTCCTTTTTGAGCTTCCTTCTCTCCATTTTTATAAGTTTTTTTTTTTTTTTTAACCATCATTGTCTAGCAGGTCAGAGCCATATGAATGACTTTACAAGCCAAGTAATTGTTCTTTAATAAATGTGTTTCTCCAGTACTTGTTGATTGCTTGTGGATTAGTGGCACATTTCATAGAGATTTTAAGACTTCTGATAAAACTGAAATTACTTGTAGTTGTAGTAGTAAAACCCTGACTGAGTAGATAGACCTAGAACTGGTCCTCTGGATCCTACTTTGGAAACCCATACAATATCTAGGATAATAGATCTTCAAGGGCAGTTTGGATGATAATCAGCTCTACCTCAAAGATATTGTGAAATCATGGAATAATAGACTATTATGACTGGAAGAGCTTCAGGGAACAGTTAGTCTAACCCCACACCCAGTTTTCAGATGAGAATATATATTATTGTGATTACAAAGCAATTTCTTGATAAATATTGGTCTGTTGACCTGGACAGTGCTGACCATATTCTGAGATAGCTGATTCATTAACTTCTTGGCTGTCCCTTTTCATAATCAAAGTCACAATCCTTGATTCTGGTTACTGTTAGTCTGTGCCGGTTTGTTAACGCATCTTATTTTTTCTACTGCTTTGGGACCAGAGAGTTCTGTGGAATATTAACATTATGCAAATAAAGCCAAGCTAGCCACACTACACTTCAGGTCCTAAAGTGAGCTAGCTTCTTCTTTGCCAAATTATCTTTAGGAACAAGTAAACAAACAACTTAAAAAAAAATGTTTATAACTTCCAGGAGATAGTTATCCATGAATGGGTTTTACACTTGAAACTTTATCCACTTTACAAACAAAAATATGTTTCCCTGGACAGCTGAAAAAGATAGCCTTCAAACAGGGTAGCTGGACTGACATACATCTAAGTTATCCCAACTGAATATTCCTGGAAAACTCAGTTCTATTCTGAGAATGAAAAGTTATAAGAGAAAGTTTGTGGATACTTTGGCACTATTTGCTTTTATCTGTCACATTGAGCTACTCTTGGTGGAACACCCTTAAGAGGCTTTGAAATACTAAAATGTCCTTCTTGAAACAGTGTATGCCTCCACCCATTGAACAGAATTGGTCAATACCAAGTCTTCATTGGAAAAACAGAAGGCAACTCAGAAGAGCATAGTGGGAACACTGTTGAGAAAGAATCGACATCCAAGTGCTGGGTGTGTGGAAAGGGAATAGAATTTTCAGTTTAAAATTTCAAATTCAGGGGTGCCTGAGTGACTCAGTCGGCTAAGCATCCAACTCTTGATTTTGGCTCAGGTCATGATCTTGCAGTTTGTGACTTCGAGCCCCACGTTGGGCTCTGCGCGGGCAGCATGGAGCTTGCTTGGGATTCTCTCTCTGCTCCTCCCCTGCTCTCTCAAAATAAATAAATAAAATTAAAATGATAGAATTCAAAATTATTATTTTTTTAAATATTCAGAAACAGTAAAAGATGGAAGTCACCATCACTAATGAGCTTATGAAGTAGGATCAAGCATACTTGTAAGTTAGCACAAAGAGAGTGTTAGGAGAGAAAAGTGCAAAATATTTTTTAAACCTCCAAACTTGGAAAGACTGTAAATTGTAAGAAACATTTTTTTTTTTTAAAGATTATAGGGGCGCCTGGGTGGCGCAGTTGGTTAGGCGTCCGACTTCAGCCAGGTCACGATCTCGCGGTCCGTGAGTTCGAGCCCCGCGTCAGGCTCTGGGCTGATGGCTCAGAGCCTGGAGCCTGTTTCCGATTCTGTGTCTCCCTCTCTCTCTGCCCCTCCCCCGTTCATGCTCTGTCTCTCTCTGTCCCAAAAATAAATAAACGTTGAAAAAAAAATTAAAAAAAAAAAAGATTATAAGGTGAGTCTTTAGTATTGGATAGTGCTTATAAAAGTTTTGGAGGAGGCCTGGCTGAGAGGATAAGGATTTTATTTTGGGATTTACAGCGAGATTGATTTTTTCATTTCGAAAGAAAAAAACCTAAAGGTCTTGTGG